TTTTAAGAATTACGTTTTCGGATAATATATAGGCTATATTTATATAATTAAGTACTAGAAGTATAGCCTCTTATATATATATTTATTCTTATTTTTTTAGAAAAGATACTATTTTCTTAATTCCTGATTTAGTTAATAAGGTAGTTTATACCAAGCTCCTAAACTTATTATAAGACTTTATAGGCGAACTTATAATTATAGTTACTAGCTAGATATTTTATAGGCTATATAGCCTTAATAATAATTTAAAAGCCCTATATATAATTTATAGTATACCTATAATTCTATTTATATATTAGAAGAGGTTCCCTAAGGTATTTATAGCTATAATAATTACCTATAAAAATAAGTATCCCGAATACTAGTACCGGAATAATAGCTATATATTTATAATCTATAAACTAGATTTTCTAGATTAGGAAATTATTTATAATAATTATTAGATTATTTTATATAATTTATATTTTTTCTAGAAATTCTATTTATATATTTATATAAATAATTAAGTATATTTATAAATATATTTATAAAAAAACGAATTATATAATTATAGCTATTTCGGAAACAAATAATAAGATTATCTAATATCCCTAGGTTTAATATATAAGCCCTATAAAGGCTTTCTAGTATTTATTTAAATACCTAATATACTAGAAGTTCTTTTTAGTTTAATATCTTATAATTTATTTCCCTAGATAATATATAATTTATTTTATAGCTAATCTCTTACCTAAGTAAGTTATAGATCGGACTATAAATACTTATTTAATTTTAATAGCCTTTTTTAAATATAATATAATATATAAAAATAACTACTAGTATCTTTATTATAAGTTCCTATAGTATTTTATATAGATTATTAAGATCCGGATATAAAAGCCCTATAAGTAAGAATATAATATTAGCTATATTTACTATTATAGCCCGGTTTCGGATAAGTAATTCTACTTATAGCTTTTATTAATAGTTATATATAGTCTATAATTCTTTAATAAGCTCTATTTAGTTAAGGGTATCTATTATCCTATATATTATATTACTTATATTATTTGTAGCTTAATAGAGAATAATTAAAAGTAGTTCTAATATTTTAATAAGGCTATCCGGTTAATAACCGGCTATAGTTTATAAATACTCTTTCTTATAAGTATTTACTAGTAGCTAATTACAGATATATAAGTAATCTAGAACTAGTATAAAAAGTATTTTTATAATAACTTAGCCTATAAGTTTACCTATAACTTATTAATTAATTTCTTATTATTCTTAGTTAATTCTTATTATAATTATAGCTTCTTTTTACTTAGCCTTAGTTTTATAAATCTCTAGTAAATACTTATAGATATTACTTTACCTAAAAATATTTTTAACTAGATTATAAGTTACTATATAGCTAATTTATAAGTTAATTATATCTATAAAATATTACTAGTAACTATAATATAAGCCTAGCTAAATATAGACTAGTACTTTTATTTCTAAATAATTCTAGTAATAATTATAAATAATTTATAAATAGCCTATTTCTATTTATAGGGCCCAGATAGAACTAGTAAGATATTCTTCTATAAGATCCTCTATTACTATTACTATAGCTAAAATAAGGTTATTCTATATATAGTATTAATAGATATTATAGCTTTTCTTTTCCTAAATAAATATATATCTTATTTCTAGTTCCGGATTTTACTTAAACTTAATAAGTTATTTATAAGTATAATTACTAAGATAAGCTAGCTTAGGGTACTCTTATAATCTATAGACCTAATTATCTAGAATAAGGTATCTATATAATATAAGTATTATTTTAAGATAGTATACTAGTTAATAATTAATTTATAATTAGTTATAAATAATATTTTCTTTAGAGAAATACTTGTAATTCTCGAGAGAAACTTTATCTAGATCTTACTAGTAGTCCTATATAGTTTATAGGCTAATATAATACGGGCCTACTTATAAATAAATATAGATCTAGCTATAGTTCTATTAGTTATTATTACGAATTAATATATAAGTCTATAATAATCTATTTAAATAGGATTTTATAAACTAAATTAGTAATCTATTATATAACTTATCTTTAAATAAGCAAATTATACTCCTGTCTTTTATTTTATATATCTAGTTAGTTATAGACCTAATTAATTATATTTACCTATAAGAGTAATTCTTATAGACCCTATATAATTACCGGGCCTTTAGTAGATAAGTAATTCTATTAACTCTAAATAATATAGTCTATAAACTTAACTAAATAATTCTAGATATATTTCCTAGCCAAAAACAAATATATTTTATAATAGATTTAGCTAATATAAATAAGGCAGATTCTGAAATTATAAAATTATTTCTAGAGGTCTTATAAAATATTTATTTACTAGATTTATTTCTCTCTAAGCTATAATTTAAGATTAATATACCTATAATATTCTTATAAAATCTCTATTTATAGGAAAGGCTTTATAATAGATTATAAATATTAATATATAGCTTTAGAAAGTTCTTAATTCGGGTATAATTACTAGGTAATAACTTTAATAGCTAGTTATAGATAATTCTATAGATTAAGCTCTAGTTTATAAATTAGTAACTATTTTTTATATTTTTCTATAAGTAGTTTTTACTTACTTTATTCTTTATAATAACTATTAATAAATTATAAGGCTAGTTATTTAAGATAATAGGAACAAATTTATAATTACCGGTCTTTTCTTATAGCTAGTTCTATATAGTAGCCTTATAAATAATCTTATAAGCAGGGCTTTATATTTTTTTATTTCCTAATATAAACTATATAAGTAATATAATATACCTAAAAATATTATAAGATCTTATTTAGCTTTTAACTTACTTATAACTAATTTTATATATTTACAGGCTATTTTTCTTTTTATATTATTTATAAAGAATTTATAAAAAGTCTATACCTAATTTATATATTTAGCTAAAAGTCTTTATTATATTTTAAATCTATTTGGGACAAGTTTAGGGTAAAATTATTACTAGCCCCGAAGCTTATATAGGGCTACTAGTAATAATTTTAGTAAAGCGGCCCTAAATTCATTTATATAATATTATTATATAATTAAATTACTAGTTAAAATTTCTAATTATATAAGAAATACTAAAACTTAAATCTATTTTTTTATATATTACTTATTCTAGAAATACTAAAGCTTTTTATATATTTCTATTTATATACTTCCTATTTATATATTTCCTATTTATATATTTTTTATTTATATATTTTTTATTTATATATTTCCTATTTATATATTTCCTATTTATATATTTCCTATTTATATATTTTCTATTTATATATTTCTTACTTATATATTCCTTACTTATATATTCTCTACTTATATATTCTCTATTTATATATTTCTTATTTATATATTTCCTATTTATATATTCTTTACTTATATACTCTCTACTTATATATTTCTTACTTATATATTTCCTATTTATATACTTTTTATTTATATATTCCCTACTTATATAAGTAAGGCTTAGAAGAGCTAAATAAAGAGGGCCTATAGAAGGAAAGAGAGGGCTTTATAGATATAAGTAAGAGCTATAGCAGTTTATAGAAAGAAAGAGAAGGTTTATAAAGGAAAAAGAACTTAGCAGAGAGCTTATAAGGGGATATAGACCGGAAGAAGAGCTAGAAAGGCTTAATAGATAAGGAAGAGAGCTTTACAGGCTTATAGAAGATCTAGAGGGTTTCCGGATAAGAATAAGGCTTGGAAGGGCTTGCGAGAGAAAGAGAGCTTTACGGATAGAAGTAAGGCTTAGAAGGATTACAAGAGAAAAGAAGGAACTTTGCGGGTGGAAGTAATACTTGGGAGGGTCCGTAAGAGAAAAGGAAAAGCTTTACGGGAAGATATAAGGTTTGGGAGGAAGTTACGGGCGAGAGTATAAGTAATAAGGGGCTTGCAAGGGCGAATAAGGCTTCGGAGGGCCCGCAAGTAGAAGGAAAGAGCTTTATAAGTAAGAATAAGGCTTGGGAGGGGCCGCAAGAGGAAGAGAGCTTTGCAGGTAAAAGTAAGGCTTGGGAGGGAGTTACGGGTAAGAGTATAGGTAGTAAGGGACTTATAGGGCGAGTGAGGCTTGGGAGGGCCTGTAAGGGGAAAGGGGAAGCTTTGCGAGTAGGAGTAAGGCTTGGGAAGGCCCGTAAGAGGGAAGGGAAAGCTCTACAGGTAGGAGTGAGGCTTGGAAGGGAAGAAAGGGCCCTATAAATAAGGGTATAGATAGAAGTAAGGCTTGGGAAGGCTCGCAAGAAGGAGAGAGCTTTACGGGTAGGAGTAAGGCTTGGGAGAGAGGTATAGGTAAGAGTATAGGTAATAAGGGGCTTGCAGCGGCCAGTAAGGCTTTAGAGGGCCTGCAAGTAGAAAGAAAGAGCTTTACGGATAAAAATAAGGCTTGGGAGGGCCCCTAAGAGAGCCGGAAGATCCGAGAGAGCTTTATAGCCTCGGTAAATAGCCTATAAGAGTAATATTACTTCTCTTGCAATTAAAAAAAGCCTCTTATAGACTTTGGCCGGTTCTTTACTTATAATATATACCGGAAGCGGAATAAGAAAGCGAACCGGGTCCGGTATATAAAGCCAAAAGCTAAATATTTAAATAAAAACTCTTAAAAACTAATTTCCCTTATACTTATATATTATATTAGTATAAGCTTGCAAGTATAATATAGCTATATTTAATAAAAGAAGGATTTTACAAGTAAGAAAGAGAGCTTATAAAAGGGGGAAAAGAGCTCTATAAATATAATTAGAGGTATAGCAGTCCGCAAAGAGAGAGAGAGCTCTATATTAAAGCTAAAGTCACTCTCTTAATCTCGAATCGAGATCAGGGCAAAATTAAAGACTGGCCCCGGAGCTTGCGTAGGGCCGCCAGGATTTAATTTTAGCGAAGCGGCCCTGATCTCGTATGCTATACTATGCTATTCTATTTACGGAATTTTGTGAAGATAAATGTTCCTTTTATTTTCCATCATGCCTTCACCATCAGTACAGGTCCAGTTTTGCTCACACGGGCAGCAAGAATGAAAATGCCAGCCAGCACATTGCACGTCCCACACCACATAGCAGGGCCAATGTAGCCATGCTGATCAAGCAAGATTCCAGCCACAGGGTTTCCGATCAAGAGACCCAACGAGGTAAACCCAAAGTTCATTCCCATATGTGTACCAACCAAGCTCAGATCGGGTGAGATGACAACGACGGCGGGAGCAATAATCGATACGAGAGTTCCCGAGAAGAATCCATAAAATATGCAGAGCACAATTATCTGGCCGGCTGATGTTGCGCTTGTCCATGAGTATGCAATTATCCCACAAAACAATACCCATGGTGTCATGATGTTGAGTGCGCCAGTTTTGTCCGCAAAGAAGTTGGGGATGATCCGGCCGAAAATCGAAGCAGCGTTGAGAATCGTAAGCAGGTAGAATCCAAGATTGGCGTTGACGATGGCATGAGAAATGCTAAAGCTGGACACATAATAAAAGGGGATGTACATTCCCATGAATGCAAAAAAGGTTCCGAAGCAGAACAGGTCGTAGTCGAGTTTGTGAAGGACCTGGAAATCGAACAAAGGTCTTCGTTGAGACGGGAACACCTTTGCTTTCATAACTGCAATTGGGACCATCAGAGTGGCTAGCATGATGAATGCAATGACTCTCGTGGCCCAACCGAAGCCAATCTTTGGCTCAAGTTCGTGGAAGATTGTTGGATAAATGATCCCACCTATGTTTTTGTTAGAGCATGAACCTTGGAAGAGAACGGAGCACTAACCAACACTGCTTCCAGATGCTGCAACCCCAGTTGCAAAAGCTCTTCTGGTTTTGAAGTACTGAGGCATGACGGCGACACTTGGTAACATCATACAACCCATTCCAATTCCGGTCACCACTCCCTGCGCTAAGATCACTTGCCAGTACTCCGTACAAATACTTGTCATCATCATCCCAAACACAGCGGCTGCTGATCCGAACAAAACCAGCGCTCGAATGTAGCCAGCATCGAATATTGGTCCAGTAATGAAGCCGCCAACGGTAAGTAAAAGGAACGCCTGAATCGAACCAATCCAAGATATTTGGGAAGGGGTCTGGCCTTTCAGTAGATCTCCTTCATAAAAGGTTTGATATGCCCCGAAAGTATTTGCAACCCCCCTGTATCTGTTAGATACAGTTTTCGAGATTCAGAAAATGAATGGCCCATACCAAGAGTTGAACATGAGAAAGAAAGCCCCGACCACTTGCAGGAGAGCGGTCAACGTCTCGCTCTTGCCTCCATCGACTTGACCATCCTCAATAGCTTGCTCTACCTGAGGCTTCTCCTGGCCACCAAGACTGCTGTTGGAATCCGAAGTGATTTTGTCTTCCGCGAAGTCGGGGGGAAAGTCCACCGTGGTTGTGTTGCTAGTAGAAGCCATGGACTTTTGAAGTTGAAAGTTTGCTGTTTTCGGATAGCTTTAGGTTGGGTCTGTAGAAGTGCCTTGAACTCTCAACTACCTCGACCTCTCGATATATATATACGTTCAGTGGACAATGTGCGGTGAAAGGCTCCATTCCACGTTTGTAAGCTCTCTTGGCTTAACAATCAGGAATAGGTGCTCGATCCTGAAACTTGCGTGTCCAGAGTCATAAGGTAAGAGAATTTGGACGTCCAAAATTACCTAAAGCGATACATGTTACCGAGCAAAGACGGCTGAAAGGAAAGCCCGTCTGATTTAAAATTTCGAAGTCATTCCGACCAAGGTGGGCCGGTTCGAGCGGCAACATGCACCTCGGCGTGCTAACCCTATCTGGGTGCTTCTCTCCACTTTCGAGGAAGATCTTATTCCCGCCACCAATTATGATGATTACTATTCTAAAGATGATGGTGGCCCAATGCCCATTCGCACGGTCAAAATGGCTTCGATAGGTCTAGGGCACGCCCGCTTGAAAGGCGCGCTCCGTCATCCTTCGAGCTTCAAGCAATGCACATGGATGGACTGATGGGCTTGCAGCTCCAGGAAAGTCGCGGAGATGATCCAAATTATTCTCTGTATACTTCAGCAAACTCATGTGTTTTCGAACGAAGTGTGCCATTTTGCCCGAAAAGTCTCCTCAAGGAGAAAGACCCTGTGCAGGCATTTCATAAATCAATGTCAAAAGTATTGTGCTAAGACCTCGGGATTGAAGTCATCGGGAGGGGTTCCGTATTCGAATCGGCCGGGCAGGCATTCTCTGCTGTTCCCATGTAATTCTGAGCAGATTTGACAGCATAGCTTATGCCGAACTGTCTTCCGATGCGGACGAGAGCTGCTCTTGCCGTATTTCGCTGTTCTCCGGACGCGACCGAGCATCTGAGAATGACTGTGAGAGACCATACAAGGAAGTATCCGCCTACACTCTTGGGCAGGCCCGTTGAGGCTGTACTCTTGGACGGACATGTTGTATTGTAATAATTGTATGATGGCACATCTCCCAGGGAGAAAGGGATGCTGGCGAAAATGTCACGAACCATGACTTGGATTGCGAGTGTTGCTTGGTATCGCAACTCCATGATGTCAGGGGTTTCGAAGTTTTTGACTGGACGGCTAGCTTTCGCTGCATCAAGCCGGGCCAGAAGTGCTTGATTGAAAGTAATGACAGCAGCACGATACTTATTCCACAAGGCTTCTGACCAAAACCCTCGATAGATGTGATGCTCTGCCTCTGGGGTGAAATTTGTATCGAGGTTATCTCCAACTGCACATTGAATAATCCGATAAGGGAAAGACATTTTCGCATCTTCGTTCCACTGGCGATGGGCATACTCGAGTTCTTTGAAGCTTTGTAGAATTGAAAGGTTCCAAATACAGCCCGGATTGCCTGACCGAATGTCACGGAAGGCATTGGCTGAGAACACGCTAACGTTGAACATGTTCATGACCATTCGACCCGCTAGCGATGCTGAATCGAGAAGTTTGCTCAGTCTCTTTTCTGCGGCACTTGGAGGCAACCCGAATTCGATGTTCCGTCTGTTCTGGAGGTGTCAGTCAAAAATCTTTAGCAATTTCTTAGGAAACCCATACCACTTGGCAACAAGCTATCTGCAGCAAAGTTGGACCTTTGCCTTGCAGTAACAATGATCCTCTCAAGTCGGCCAAGACGCTTAGTCCTTTGATATGTTGGTAAGAAAAGTCAAAGAAGGTAGTATTATTGATGCACTAGGGTGGTTAAACCGTGAGCTTTTTGCCTCCGATGTTGCAGTAGTGGGCAGACTCACCTCATAGAGGCCAAGCAGAATTACCGCTGTCATGTTGATATCGCTCGTGGCCAGTTGAGGGCTAGAAAGATTATTCTTGACCGTTTCGAGAGACGCATGGTAGAGCGATGCCGCCTTCAGTTCGAGGTCTCTTCGCGCAGTTCTTTGTGCAATGTTTGCATAGGCAGCCGCCAGAACAGCATCTTGAAGACTAGGATTTTCGGAATGCCGTCCATACAAATCTGGCAGGTAATCTAGCCACCCATCACAGATCCCCGGGCAAGAATCAACAATGTAGTCATGAAAGAATAGACATACTGCATGGAATTGAATATCGTCTGAGAGGACCTTACGTCGTCAGCGTGGGCAGGCAGGGGTTTGAGGCAAACTTACATTTTGGGGCGAAGGGGAACGAGAAGAGGCAGAGACCATTTCCCGTTTAGTGTATCTTGACACGAGTTCTCGTTTCTTACGTGCCTTGGCATAAATAGCTTCATTCTCACTGCGAAATGCGAGGTCCCATTTATTCGGGTATCCCGGGCAGTCTTTGCCAATCCGTCGACATCTCTGACAACCAGGGAGTGATAGGTCGCACTATAAGAATGATCAGCGCAATTCATGTCAAAAAAAGACCCTCTCCTTACCTTGAGCTTCCTCTTCTTGCAACTGGCACATCCTACAGTCTTGTGAACCATCCTGTCGAGCTTTCCTAGAGGTCCCTGGTCACACGGAGGTGGTTGGGAAAACTCTACTCATGTGAGAGATATTGAGAGAAAGGGTTGTGAAATATTGAATAGAGAAGATAATTCAACACCGAGAGTGATACTTGCAGGTTAAGGATGCTGTCTTGTTGACTGAGGTGTCCGGTGGTGAGATTTTAAATCAAAGGGGCAAGGTTCGGCCGGCATGCCACCAGTGCTGACGAGCCTGCTGACATAAGTCCGTGGTTTTAGCGATGTTTTCAGACTCACAAAACCAAAGTCGCCCATTTCACTTCACTACAAATACAGATTAAAACCTCGTATAATTCAAGCGCACACAGTGAAAAGGGGTAGATTAAGCTTAGAAGGCTTTTAAACTTAATTCTGAATATAAAATGAAAGCATCCAAAATAGTTATGGGGCTCGTTTCTTAGCGAAATGCCCTAAAAACACGGACTTATGTCTGCAGGCTCGTAACGACACACCTATAAATCATACAGACGTCCCCTCAATTGCCTTCGTGTCTCACCAGCGGGAAAATTTATCCGCAACTCGACAAACGCAGTCGCAAAAGTTAGTCGGTCCCACGGCAGAGAAATTTCCCGAATGTTCATCTGAGAGGTACCATTGAGACCTAAGGCCAGAACCTCTGACGGGTGCAGCCACTTGTTTCAGTAATCTGGAAACTTCGTCGAGAGTGCTCAACCACACAAAAGCAATTGAGAAAATGACCCAAAGACAAAGGCAACGTATGAATGATATTTCATGTCAAATTGGGGAAAGTAGGGGGGAACGAGCCAACAAGATCGATACCACTTGTTAAGAATAGGAATTGTGCTCTTAGGTATCAATGCTCTCTGTCAGTTGTCATTCACATGACCCTTCCACATTTAGTTAACTCAGTTGCAGAGGCATATAAACCCTCTCCTGAACTGCTCTTTCTTGTATTTTAGAAATCCTCATCTATATTAAATTTACCCTCATATTTGAAGCCTAATTACATGCTAAACACTGCTTTGCTCATGCAATTGCCATTCTCTCATGAGGGTCCTTGACTGCTTTCGATATAAATATGGACGGAGTACGGATATCGCGCCATAAAATGCGGCATCAGAGCATACCTGACCGAGATACACTATTCATCTACATCCGTACTGCATCTGCCCACAGCCCTATACTGCAGAAAAACCTTCAGAAGTCAACTGCGGCTGAAAAGTCGATTTCGCCAACAATCAATCTAACATCACTAACAGCCATTGTCAGCGTCTGCCGAAAAAAACATAGAGCTCATCATAAGACAATACCTAACTAGTTTAGAAAGATCCTCTCTGGTAACCGCCGACAACATCTGACTTGCAGCAAACGCACAATATTCGGGATTTACGATATGCTTCAAATTGAAAATGTCATGATCAAGTTGAGTAAGAGCATGATCCAGTTGATACGGCGGTGGTGCCGTCGTATTAGGAGGCAGTGACTGTCCGCTCTCAAGAGCAGCGGAGAGAATGCAGAGGATATTGGCGAAGGAGTGGTCGGTCATGTCGAGCATTTTGCAGAGAGAGACGACATCGTCGTGCCAGACGCTGCTCTCACTTGGAGTGTCGATTGAAGACATTAGGTTTTGGATTGTCAGTGAGAGAAGGGCGAGATGCCCTGAGAGCCTGCAAGATTAGAGTCGTTAGTGGATAACCAGACAGCAATTTGAGGATTAAGGGAGGATGGGAATTACTTCTGGATCGTATGGGAGATATTATTATATGTTTTGTGGGGGAACCTCCCACCTAGGTTCGGCTCCCAGTTTTGAAAACTGCTGTGTTCATTGAGCCGTTCGGCGATAGTGATCTGCTTGATATAGAGATGTCGTCGAATTTTGGTAAGGCGTTCATTTGACCTAAGGAAAAGTTGTGCTGAATCCGAATCCGAATCCTTGAGTTTCAATTGGAATATTGCCTTTATGCAGGAGTAATAGTTTGCGAGAATATAGAGGGAGGTTCCAAGGCCCTTTCGCAGCACACTGCGATCTCTTACAGTTCCTGGGAAAAGTGTCCAGAAGAATGCAGAGGAGCAGCCCGCAGTAACGGCAAGCAATCCTAGATTACATAAATAAACGAATTAGGTTGCGGAATAGGGAAAACAAACTTTGGGGGGCAAGTATATAGACTGGGTAGAATTCCTGCCCGCTAACTGATGCCAATTCAACACCCAACTTGTGATATTGGGTTAGATACCTGGAAGAATAAATCATATTGCATTCTATAAGCAGGTTGGAATTGAGACTGACCCGAGAATAATGACATGAGTAACTAATCCCAGAATTCCAATTACTGCCTGGCGCGGTACTTTGATAATGATCCACGTGTCTACTGAGCGTCAGCTGGTCACGGTGCAGTCTCCTGTTAATCTTACCTAAACTCATGAAAAACCAAGACAACGCGATTATGCCCCTTCACCGATCGTTAGCGCTGGATCCTTTCCGAGCCATGGAAGAGGAAATTTACCCCGTATGGCCGTTGACCATGTAGTAATTGATAATTGTAAAAACCGTAGCCAAAACACTTCCCATCACTCTTCCAAAAAGGCCAAAAACACTGAATCCAGAGGTAGGACTCATGCTAATTGCGATGGAAACAGAAGCCCATACCACCCGCTGGTTGATGAAAAAAATGTGTGTGTTTTTCAGGAAGGCTAATATGGCAATGGTCATAGTAGCACAGGCTGCCCAAAGGCCCAGAGAAGAATCATCGGAGCCAATGAAATAATACCAGTGTCTGAGGGCAGTACCCACCTTTTCATACCAGTTCCGTGGGGGTAGATGTTCCGGATCCCGATGTTGAAAGTCCGAGTCTGCGAAACGAATGGAGCTGGTCTCTCCAGCCACATTTTGATCATCGCGGTCGGTCGAAAGACAATCGAAAAGCCATTCCTTCAGAACTTGAAGAGTGGGATAAATGAATATTTTCTTGTCCATCCCTCCGCTTCTTCTTTTGTCCTCTGCAAACTTTGCAAGTTTCAGTATGGAAGTTGTTCCTATGTTGAAGATGTTCTCTATCTACAACTCATTAATGAAACATGTTCCATGCGAAGGATTTCAACTCACCCAAAGAAGGGCCAACAACTCTTGCTGAGCTCTGGTAGGCGGTGTCTTGTCATCTGCAGAAGCCAGAGCTGGGAACTGAGTAGCAAAATTAAAAGTCATTTGGGTTTGGTCGAGGGGTGTTGTAGTTTTCCAAGATTCTAAGCTGGTCATTCTGCGATTCTGGAAGGAGGCCACCCGCCGCTCAAGAGCATTGAAGTATTGAGGCTTGCCTGGAGAGGAATCTCCGATATATGCCTCGATGTTTGAAGTGTCTGCACTGAACTGCTTCCTGATATTCAGTTGCTCCTTCCTCGACGGTTCGTTTAATTCGAGCAGCAGCAAGCTATGATTGATAGCACCGTCAATTATTTCCACGAAGTCATTGAATGTGGTGTCGAGAATCTTCATCGCGTCTTCAATCTCCTTCTCTTCCTCTCCATCCTTTTTCTCCCTTGAAGTTCCACGTGATTGAGCAGCTTCTTGCCCTTCAGATCGTACTAGTCTTCGTAGCATTGTCACAATATTCCCCACGCCAGTCACCAAAATAAACAACTCCTGCATTCTTTCACACAATATTTCCATATCACTTGCAGTAATGCAACCAAAGGCAACTTCGCGCTGGGCATAGCAAACATCTGGCCCAAGCTTGCTATGAAGAGTTTCAAGTTGGGCCAAAGTTTTCTTCGTATCGCTAGTGCTCCAGACATCTTGTGTAAACACCTCGGTTGATAGAGAAGTGAGAACGGAGTTTGAGCCTGAGACTGATGTGTAATCGTCTAGGACGCCGAGAGATTTGAGTTTGTGTATATGGGATGCCTGTTGCTTCAGCGTCTTCCTCGTGAGCTCGAGAAATCCGGTGATCTCTTTGAATGCTATGAGTCTGCATGAGACCGGAACAACAAGCAAACCCACCAAGAATGCCAATGAATACCCAGTCAGGAATGCGAGTGTAACGCGATGTAGGAAGGTCGTTATGAGTCCCCAGCTGGGGAAAAATGACGTGTAAGGTATCGCAATGTTGATGTAGATACAGAACATGACTGAGGGAAAGAATAGATGGCGACGTCTCGCTCGGATCGCGGTGGAAAGCCTATTGTCCCAAGTCACGAGTAAGCAAGTAGAAGATGAGCACTTAAGACCCCACGAAGCTCGAACTTACCACATATGGAAAATAAGCCAGATTGCACACACCACTGCAGCAGAAGAGTTGTATGGAAGTTCCTTCAGGTTCGCTATAGCTCCACTGCTAGCAGCGGCTGCAAGTTCCTCATTCACAGCTGCATTTTCGCCCGCTGATAATGAGTGCCATCGAGCTTGGAGAGCGCAATAACCGCATAGGAGGCTGAACGCATATGCAAGGGCTGTGCTGGCCTGTACGAGAAGATCAGTCTTAATTTCATTCAAGCAAGATGTGTAATATACTGTATTCAGAAGCATCATTTCGATGAACCTGGCTCTGGGCATGATGCATATACAGAGAGACGCGATGATTGGGACGAGGTATCCAAGTGTTTGAAATGTATCCGCTACGGAAGTCGCTTGATATCTAACATGGTGTAAGCATAGAAGCAGAGAATAGAAAAGGGTGACTAACATAGCCATTCCGAGAGTTGGAGGCAGTGCGCCTCTGTACCATGGTCAGTTACCGGCCTTCTTGAGTGAGGATAAAGAGTTGGGGCTAACTTGAGCATCATGACAACCGTTGGAAGATCCAAACCCAAAAATGCCCATAACGCAGATAATTGCGATCGTAGTGGTTGCATGATCGTTGTCGAAGGTTTTTGCTCGCCAGGATTGGGCGCAGGTCCATATTCAATATCGCTGACTTCTGAACCGTTTTCCATCTTATCTCTCCAATCGAACCAATTCTTGAAAATTGATTCTGGAAAAGGTCGGAGAGTGCTGACTTTCTAATCAGAAAACACTTTGCGATCAAGTGGTAAGTTTGTGAAGTTGGGGGTGCTTACTGAATTTGGTGAAGTTGCTTTTCGCCGGGTCGCCCGGCTGCACCTCGATTACATTTCTCCAATAATAGAGATCCCAAATTAATCCTGTAATCAACTTTTACTAATTGGTGCAGTGCGAGAATACGATTCGCCACGGTCGTTTTCCTGTTCCTCTATTAAATCACTAGCCCGCATGATCCGGCAAGCCTTGAAACCCAGGTTCACGAGTTGGTCGGCCTCGTAGGCTATCAAGCTAGAGATCTTGAAGAGTTCGTTGTTGGATATTGCCAAGATTGACGGCACACTACGGTTCTTCAGCAAAACTCTTCTCCTAAAACTCTGTGAAGTTGGGAGCCTCCATGAGACAGCATTCCGCTACGCCTGGTGTCGCGTGCGGTGGACAGATGAAGTTGCAGCCTCGGGCCTTTTGAAAGATTATGTGTTGCCGGCTCCCGGTTTACCCGAAGATGTGGAAGACACCAGTTCCCTTTTCCAAACCAGTCTCGAAATACTTTAAATCCCCCAGCTCAAATGCCGGATGCGACGTCCTAGACGGGCACCACTCGAACGTGTCCTTTGCCGCCTCGGATACCTCTTCACATCGAGAATACATGTCCGGGAAGCTCAGGCTCTTCAAGATGCGCTTCTCGTTAATGGTTTGGAGTACCAAATCTGGAGGAGAGAGGAAAGGACGGCCGCTATTTAGCGAGCGTGAAGGTAGACCTGCAACCGAACTCGCGGACCCTGGATGCCACATCTTACCCTCGTTACGAGTTAGTGACGGCTTTCACGGCTCGAGGATGAATGGATTTTTAAACCTCGGGAATAAGCTTATTTTCAAGAAAGGGAGTAATATTATAGTTATTATGTCTTATAGTATTAATAGGAGTTAAACTATAGTTAGCCAAATATATATAGTTCAAGTCGAGAGTAAAGTTAGGTTATATGAACTAACTTGGGTAATATAAACTAACTTGGGTAATATAAACTAACTTGGGTAATATAAACTAACTTTACTTAGCAAGTTATAATATATGAGCTTGTATATATCCCGCACTTACTTAATTCCGAGACTTCTTTAAGAACATCTTTCTTTTTTAGCTTCAGATTATTAAAATAAAGATAGTTTAACTTTATTTTCCACGCTTTAGATTTGTATTTATAATAATAATAATTTTAAGCCTGCCATTACTAATTAAACTAAATAATAATTATTAATAATTTCATATTTTAGGAAATAAGAAACTAAAACTACTATATTTATTATTAGTTTTTAATTACTTATAATAATATATATTAACTAATTTTAAAAACAATGGTATTTAATAAAGGCTTTTAGTTTATATTAAACTTTTAAACCGAATTTTATAAATATATTAATATAAAGCTGAAGTTATTATTTATTAATTAAAACTTTATTTAAGTCGCGGAAGCTGAGAATAATGATGCAAGCCTTAGCAAGTTCGGCATCAATATCACTCTCTCGGATGGCGAACCTGGAAAGTATATTGGAGTTCGGCGGTGAAAGATTTTGAGGCGGTGACGTTAAAAATTCTTTGACCGTTGAATGTGTGAACCGAACGGATCGATCAGGCTCCACCCTGAGGAGGTATTCAAAAGCTTGATCAAACTGGACTTCGAAATTGAATCCCAAGGACTCTACAAGATCTGCCCAAGACCGCTGGCCTGCTCCAATTGCGACGGCATGCTCTAGCTCCGAGACGCTGAGTGGCTTCCGGACCCGAGCACCCATGTAAATCCCTGCTGCGCGACCTCCCGAGAATCCTCTGGAATCCGCTCAAAAAGGGAGCAATAGTACGCTGTTGCTTCCTTCGAAATCTTCCGGAGGCTTTCCAATCGTGTTTTGATTACTTGTGGGTGACTAATAAGACACCCCAAAGTAGAAATTCTTCCAAGTAAGAGAAGCTTGCAACAAGTTCCCCTGTGAGAGTTGTATGAATTCCTCCACGATCTCGGTCTGTTGCTGCCACGGGATCCACCATCTGCAGGGAATGTGTAAAACGACACCCCCCCCGGGTGTCGATTGGGGTGCCCGTTGGGGGCTAGACTAGCTACTAACCCAAAGTAGAGCTGCTCGGACAGGAACACCAAAACTCCGGCTTTTTCTTTAATTTAATTTAATATTTGTTTTATTTACTTACAGCAATAATTAAGGGCTATTTAAATATAAACTTTTTCTAAATAAATTTGGACTAGTAATAGCTCTTTATATTAAAGAAGTTAAAAATTTCATATTTTATAACCTAAAGGTAAGCTTAAGAATGAAGCCCAGAAATTTAGCAAATAATTCCTTAAAACTGGATATGAGAGTCTTATAAACCCCTAATTTATAGGGCCCTATAGGGTTTAAAAACTAGAATCTAATTAATTAGTATATAAATTCCCTTAAATTAAAAAACTATTTAAAGGAATCTTTTTATTATAGGCTAGGAAGCACTTGATTATAATATAGTAGTTATAATATACTAGCTTATATTTATATAAAAAAACCTAACTTTAGATTTTTAGGGAGCTTAGATAGCTAATTACAAGTCGTTAATACCCCTGCCCCAATCGACACCCAATCAATACCCGGGGTCGTTTTACACATTCCCCGTTTCCAGACCCAACATTGATTTCGACTTTTACTATACTTTAGGCTCGGTGCAATTTTTATTACAAGTGGGAAGAGTATATATCCGACGCTTTGTATTTCTTCGATTTCCGATGCGGCCATCTTGGATCTCTGCTCTGAGGTTCAAACGCGACTCTAGCTAACATTCAACTAGGAGTTCTTTCAAGCCAGGTTTATAATAAGCACGCACTATTTCTAACTCCCTTAAGTATAGTCCAATTTTTCAAATGTTTCTTCATCTGTACAACACAAACTATTCCATTTACGCAAGTGAGACTCCATCTCCAACAAGTCTCGAAAGTTATAGGAACTCACAGCGCTCGGTTTTGTAAATACCGACTTTTGCTCCTCAACACCGGCCCCCACTGGAAAAACACCCACGGAATGGGAATCATAGCTATAGTGATAAATGCAATTAATGACGTTGCCCACGCAAAACCAATGCTGTGGACCATCTGTGGCGTGAAAAGAGGGAACGATGATGAGATTGAGAAGCGCAAGAAGGTTGTGGCTGCAAGAACTGATGCGCCGTAATGAGCAGCGTAGACATCATTATTATAGATTGAGATAGACAACTGGTTACTGTTAGCTGTGAGATCTGTCGGGCAGGTGATGAAGAAGTGGGCTACTATATTGAGAACGTATGCTAAGCCGAACAATATGCCTGACAGCGCTGGAACAATCCAGTGGACTGAGGAGCGACCTGACCATGCGAGCCACTACAATGGTGTAAGTATATTCTAACCAGAACCCGAATCAAAATATAGCGGGCTTTCCTCGCTAGGGAAGAGGAGAAGTTCAGGGGACGCACAAATAATGAGATTGGAAAGAGTATCACACTCAACATTGCGGGGTACAGTCTCTTCTCGGGTTGAACCTCAGTACCAGATCGAATGGCTTCAGCTCTCGCTGTCTGATATGTTAATCGGTCGAAAAGTCCCATCACTGGAACGGCGACGAGCCCTCCGACGAGTAATGGTGCGAAGGTCAATCCGGCTTGGTATTGACTAAAGTGATATACTTGTTCGAAAAGGATTGCGTAAATGACGTAGCTTGAGAGAATCATATCAGCGTCTACAACTTCCAAGTGAGGAGAAACGGTAGCCGGCGAACTCACTATGCAAAGACAACTGATTGGGTGACAGCAAGTACGAGTCCATTTGGTAGTACAAACTCGGAGGCAAGTCAGCTTTCTAATTTTGGTAGTCAGGTTGAAGAACAGTAGTGGGACAGTGCTTACTGGTTCAACCATGATCATATGTAGAGGCCTACCGATTGATGCCAGAAATACCCCCCATGAGTCTCCTCGTTTCATGACTGGTAAATTCTCCTTCTTCGCGCGACTTCTCAAGATTTCAGGCGCATATGTTTCAGGAATCAGGAAAGCCACTACGGATAGAGTCCCCATCAAAATGGCTGATAACCAAAACGTCCACCGCCAAGAATGATATGTGAGCAGACTCCCACTGATCATAGGTCCTGTCTGCGTTGCATACATAACTCCGAGTGCATACAGGAGTCCGAACGTCGTGCCCGTCTTTTCAAGGCTGAGGTTCCAGAGATCATTCATCACGCCACCTCCTAATGAGACACATGGTCCTGCCAGCGTTCCAGCAAGAAATCTTGCAGCGGCCAAAGTCGAGTAATTGTGAGCAGCCCCACCGGCAATGGTGAACATGAGCGAGAGGGGTAGAGTGACTTTATAGACGATGACACGGCCAAATATCTCTGACGCCGCAGAAGCGATCAGAGCACCGACGCCGAGGCCGTAGGCGTAGAGAGAGATGGGGAGGATTGCAAGAGTGATGCCTATACGGAAGTCGACTGCAATGTTTGGAACTGCTGCAATATAGATCGGAGTCCCTGTTCGTGACAATATCTGAATTAATTTACCGTGTTTGGAAATTCAACTGTAGAGGCTTTGGTCCAGGCGGCATATACTCTAAGACATGTATGAATCTGACGAAAAGGAGGTTTTTCTTGAGTAGTTTACTCCTAGAACCTCCTACATTCGAGAATTTCTTTTCTTAAGAACTTTTCACTTACCAAGCGTCCTTATTGAGCTGTTAGTTCAAGGATGAATCGATGGATGGTAAAGTGAACATGGAAGAGGCAAGCCTAAACTATGATGCAAAAGGAGACGGGGGTGCTTACGCAACAAAACCTGCCGCAATGACGAACGTCCCAATTGCCGCCTTTCTCTTAGCAGTCCAGTTCCTTGGGTTCCCTTCATCGCCGTCTGTAAAATGTACCGGTGGCGCAGAAAGATGCCCTATCATATCATTTCGCGGTGCTTTCACTGCTTGGCCTGACCATGGCTCTAGTTTAGTCACTGGTTTGCTAACTCCCGTGTATGTCGTTGCATCTAAGCATCCGGCCTTCTCGTCCATCCGAGAGATGTCAGATGAACCATTATCCTGAAACGTTGATGAGACAACGGCCTCGTCCATTCTTGGCACCATAGAAAGAAAGAGAGAATGATACCAGATGGAAAGACAGGAGATGGCAACATCCTGAAAGATGGGCGGTCTGGGGAGCTTCTACATTCGTCACTAACAGGGTGTAACACTGCTAGCCTCATTTGTTAGTTTAGCCGCCCAGGAATAGTCGTGCTGCCTCCGGTCTTCTTTTAGATCACCGCGGGGCACCCACTGCACTGCTGACCAATAGGTCCGCTAAAACTGAAAGGGATCGATGTACTTCTGGGTAGCCCCACATCTGTTCTAACTGCGAAGAGGTGCGCCGCCTGACTGCCAGAATTTCCCCTCGGGATGGTTTTTCGCCCTCTCGTGGCGAACGGGGACTTTTGACGTCCAGTGGACGTAACAATTCCAGCATCTGATAACACCGGTAGCCTTACGTTCGTGCTGTTCTTCTCGTATTTGTCAGAATATCCACATAGCCCTGAAAGGGCACATCAGAAGCGATTGGATTCAAAGTGAGACAAAGACCTTGGATACAACAATTTGTCCTCCAGTAATCTGACACCATTCCCTCAAGCTAAATTACCATAGCCCTGTGTTGTAGGTCTTGAACTGCATCCAGGATTCTATTAACAGTTACATTATCTCTAGGAATGGCATGTCCACGGTCGTGCAAGATCCACTTTGCGGAGCCCGGCTCGCAGGCCACTTTTGATCCACTAGCACCCAGGAAACTATCCGATTGATCGAGAACATGTAGAGACGGAATGCTTAGCTGGCCGTCATCGCCCAATTGGGTTTTTTCCCGGTCGATTCCCACGCACGAAAAGAGTATCGCCCATTTGCAGATCGCATAAGCCGGATCCAGTGGATGTTCGATTGTATATCGGAGGAGAAGGGCAAGTGCCAGAGCCGCGCCTTGGGAGAACCCTATGATTCCATCAAATGGGCCATCCTCCATGATAATATCTTGGACAAAGTCCAAGGCCTCCTTTGCTGACTCGTAGTTGACCAGTTTGTTATCCGATGACATTGAGCACCAAGAGTAATAAGGTTCCGGGAACATGCTCCTCATGTCTTCTTGGCCCTCCGTCTCTATCAGACCATCTATAAAGTACAGTTCTAGATTTCGCTCTTCCTCAAGTCGAGTAACCAATTGTCCCAATTGCGCTCTAAAGATCTGACAACCAGTCAGCTCTACGAGATGCTTGGCAGGGGCGTAAAAGTCGGATAGTTACCTCTCCAGATGTATGAAGCCCATGGAGGCACAATACCTTTGGTTTCGACATGATTTCGAGTTTCTATGCCAAAGAGATCTAGCGCTAAATTTGGAGATCCTCGACTATCATCGAAAAAGACTTCTTTTTCGAATTTCTAAGGTCGAATGCCCTCTTAGATTGTATCTGCTTTTTATTTACAACTCTATAAGAGCAAGTTCGGTGGGGCGGCACCAGTGCCTGATACATCAATTGGTCAAAAAGTCATCGAGATAAGCAATTCTGACAATATTGCCTGAAAGATGCACGTTTTCGATAGATTTATGCACCTCAAATGTTACCTCGCCATGCATCTCGGTTGGGGATTCCCCGAGATGCACCTTCCCAGTGTGGACGTTCAAGAGACGCAGTCTAGGCGACTGCTCGTCAGAGACCCTGCCATTGCTCCGCATACTGCAATCCGTGATTCGGCCCCCCAGCTCTTGAATTGTTCCAAGATGCCCTGTACATTTGAATACTCTCTTAATCTTTATTCTAGGCCTAGATTGTAAGAATAGAGACTGGGACATTCGATGCGAAGCAGACTCGAAATGTCCAGGCACCGAAGGAAAACGGTGTACGCGGCGCATGGCGCAATCCATTACATTATCTAATGAATTGGTGACACGTGTATGAATTGCTGGGGCCCAAATCCTCTCATCCTTCTGCAGTTATATTAGGTATAGTGACTAAGAGACCCCCTGGGATGCTTCTGCATATGCTCGGCGCCTCCTTCTGACTGGTACTAGTACGTTCCGATCCTGGGAGGCTGTTATTTTAAGATGGGACGAGGAGACCATTTCCGAAAATGCTCCTACCGCCCAGGAAGCTTTGTCTCGCAGGTCGTCCATACCCAGCTTTGCTATTGGCGACTTCGTGCATTCTGCGAAGTTGTCCGAAATAGTTTGTACCTGAAGAACCTATCAGACAAGTTTTCTTGCCGCCGTAAACTTCGCTTCGTATGTGGTTGAATTCAAAGCTGAGATGTCAGACTTCGAGCCTTTTGCGCAGTCATTAAAAATGACATGGGGCTTCTGCCATAGAAGGTGTTCCCAAAAAAAGATGAAGGAGCGAGGAGTGAAATCAAAGCCTTGTAAAGGCTGTAGCCTCACCGTAATCGTTTTTTCTGTATCCATAATATTCTCAGGGGTTTCTCTTACCCCACGGCTTTCGATATTCTAGCAACAACATTGCAATCATCTGATCTACTTAATAATCAGCTTTTTAAGGGAACGCAAACTCTCTCTGTCCACTGAACATAAACATCACCAACAACCATAAGCAATATGGTATGCTTAAATGACGAAATGGGTCCTATTGCCGTGATTGGCTTGTCCGGGCGGTTTCCTGGGGAAGCAACAAACCCTGACAAGCTGTGGGAAATGTGCGCTGTAGGCAAGGATGCATGGTCACCATTTCCCAGTAACAGATTTAATTCGGAAGCCTTCTATCATCCAGATGGCGGAAGGAACGGTTCCGTAAGTCGAATATAACTCGTCAACGCAGAGAGATTGCTCACAGATCAAGACTAATATTCGTGGTGGCTTCTTCTTGAAGGAAGACTTGGCACATTTCGATGGACCTTTCTTCGGCCTCAATGTCGCCGAAGCAGCTGTGAGTTTGTCCAATCTATTTCTTTCAAGTCGAATATAGTAATAAGCTTCGACTCGCAGGCCCTGGACCCACAACAGAGACTTCTCCTTGAGTGCTCCTACGAAGCATTCGAAGATGGTGGGTCGAACCTAATTGATCCTAACGTGACCGCTAATTACTACAGCCGGAATTCGTATCGAGGATATTGCTGGTGAGAGCGTCGGTGTATTCATTGGGACTTTTGGTAAGGATTGGTGGAACGTCACATCAGAAGATCCAGATGCCATCCCTATGTAGTATGTACTGTCTTCTTTTTTATCGTTGCGGAATGTTTTCCCCCCTAATTCATCCCTGGTGCCACGTTTCTGATAACACAGTATATCATAAGCGTATTACTGACTTGGTCCCGGAATAGTTGGACGACAGGTGGCGGGCACACAATGTTGTCCAATAGGCTATCGTATTTCTATGATCTCTCCGGGCCGTCATTTACGGTGGATACAGCTTGCTCCGCGAGCTTGGTAGCACTGCATCTTGCTTGTCAGTCGCTAAGAGCAGGTGAATGTAGTTCTGCTATAGTTGGGGGAGTGAGTTATATGTTGGATCCAAATGGCTTTGTCACATTGAGTTCTGGTAAGCACTTCTGGCTTTATCGTTCTTGCCCCTGCATTGATTGTTTCGAATCACAGAATTACCACTGCGGGTAATATATTTGATGGATGTTGAGTTTAATGAACATGTTTACTATCATGGATCCGTCACAACACTTACTAACCTTTGTTACTTCAGCGGGGTTTCTATCTCCCGATGGCAGGTGCCACAGCTTTGATCAGAGGGCGAACGGTTATGGCCGTGGGGAGGGTGTTGGGTGTGTAATTCTCAAGCCCCTCAATGATGCTTTGAAGCATGGGAACGTGATTAGGGCCGTCATAAGGAATACAGGGATCAACCAAGATGGTAGAACACTTGGCGTAACGTTTCCGAGCGCCAAAGCCCAGGAGTCATTAGCACGTAAAGTATATGCGCAGGCTGGCCTGGATCCACTGGAAACAACATATGTAGAATCTCACGGAACTGGAACACAGGCTAGCGATCCTGTCGAAGCTTCTGCCTTGTTCGAAACCTTCGGCAAAGCACGAAGTGACCCTATCCAGGTTGGCTCCGTCAAGTCGAATGTCGGTCACCTTGTAAGTTTGACATTCTCATTAGCAAAACCTACCCTCAAACCACGGATTCTACCCTCAAACAAGACATTCGTAGCACGCATCTCTAAGCATGCATGTGTTGAGAGAGCATGAATCCCAACACGTCTGAAGCAACCCCAAAACCTCCGAAAAAGCAGTAGGCTAACCCCGAGGTTGTCGCGAACAGGAAGGTGCTAGTGGCGTGACCGGGCTGATCAAGACCATTCTTATGTTGGAGCGAGAACAGATACTTCCAAACTCTGGGTTTGAAACTCCGAATAAACGCATCCCATTGGATAAGTGGAATCTGCAGGTATTTGAAGTCAAAACACATAGTGAGTTGAATGTTAATAGCAATGTAGATTCCCACGAAGTCCTTGCCTTGGATTCGCAAGAATGGGGTTTTGAGGGCATCAATTAACAGGTAAGGCTATTCTATCTCATACTTACTCGCAAATAGTAAGTGTTCTGAGCAGTCTCAGCACTTTATTCCGCTGGCCTAGATGACTATCAGAACAAATTGCTCTCGAAACGACTCCAAGAAAGTCACCACTCATGAGAACTAAAGTGCTAATACGTCGCGGCAGCTTCGGCTATGGCGGTACGAATGCTCATGTCATTGTAGAAGACGTTCGTGGTTATCTGCAATCACGGGAGTATGGAGATTGCAGTGGAGCACTTACCGTAGTGGAGACTGTCATGGCAGGTCCAGGAGACTCCACACCGGAATCAAAAACATATGATGACACCCTCTCCGATGAGGGATCTTCGCGGAAAGTTAGCACACCTGATACTTCAGTAACATCCCTCACGGGTGGTGTTGATGTAGAAGACGGTGGCTATGCTTCCACACGAGCTACATGGGCTCCAAAGAGTCGTCTCTATGTTATCTCAGCTTATGACGAGAACACCGGCAAGCAATATCTCAAGGAGTTGCATGATCACCTCTCAAAAGAAGTCGTTAATGAAAATGGACCCTTCATGGAAAATCTTGCGGAGACTTTGAGCAGGCATCGTTCGTTGCTCCCCTGGAAAACATCAATGATAGCTTCATCTCTATCCCAGATCATTTCATCTCTTCAACAAGCAAGTCTCACGCATTCCACGAAATCACCAAGAGTGGGCTTCGTCTTTACTGGGCAAGGAGCACAATGGTATGCAATGGCAAGATCTCTTCTGGATACTGAACCGTTCCGCAAGTCACTGGATCTTTGTAACGGAGTACTCGAGTCTCTTGGTGCCGGGTGGTCGGTGGTCGGGGAGCTCCGGAAGGATAAGTCGTTGAGTCGAGTTAATGAAGCGGTTCTGAGTCAGCCCCTTTGCACCATCATTCAGATTGCTTTGGTGGATCTTTTGAGCTCCTGGAGTATCACCCCTACGGCAATCATAGGTCATTCTAGTGGTGAGATTGCTGCGGCATACGCAGCAGGAGCCTTGAGTCTCAAAGGAGCTGTCACTACTGCGTACCATCGTGGCTTGGTCGTTGGTACTAAGAAACGAAACAACATCCTCCACAAAGGAGCCATGGCCGCCGTCCGGTCTACGAAATCTGACGTTGTAGCACTGCTTTCTCAGCTACAAACAGGAAAGGCTCATATCGCATGCCACAACAGCCCTCGTAGCTTTACGGTTTCCGGAGATGAATTTACGATCTATGAACTCATCGACTTGTGTGCCTCTAAGGGGATATGGGCTCGAAGGCTTTTAGTCGATGTCGCTTACCACTCACCAAAGATGCAAGCCGTCGCCGAAGAATATCAAGTTGCATTGTTAGCTGCAAGTGTAGGCTCAGACCCCTCGCAGAAGCCAAGTTACGAGCAATACTCTTCGGTAACTGGACGAAAGCTTCAGTCAGGTGATATTACGCCAAACTATTGGGTAGAGAATATGACGAAGCCCGTTCTATTCTCTGACGCACTCCTCGAAATGTGTACCAAGTCCAAAGGCCGGGCGTCTACCCAAGCCAAGAACATCAGTTCCATAGATTTGCTGATTGAGATTGGCCCGCATGGAGGGCTGGCTGGGCCTGTGAGAGAAATCATACAGTCCCAGCCTGCACTGGCAAAAATATCATACATTTCCGCCTTGAATAGGGAGGAGGATGCCGTGGATACGGTGTTGAAACTTGCGTCCAGGCTCTTTGACCGAGGATATGCTGTCGATATCCAGGCGGTGAATCAAGCTGCCCACCAGGGACATCCGTCTCAACTGGTAAAATTGCCAAGCTATCCATGGAACCATTCTACGAGATACTGGGCAGAGCCTCGAGTACATATGGACTATCGACTAAGAAAGTGGCCGAGGCATGATCTACTCGGGGCATCGGTAAAGTTTTCGAATGCCCTTGAGCCTCGATGGCGAAACTGGATCAGACTTGCAGAACTGCCTTGGCTCCGAGATCATAGAGTACAGTCTCTGGTGAGCTTAGCTTTCCATATTTCGTTTTGTGCTATGACTTGCGTATCGTGTTTTGTGCGGAAGGTAGACTTAGATCTTGAGAACTGTCGGCTTGCGCCCCAAAATATATCTAGGTCTCACAAATTATATTTTGCGAGCAGTTACTGACACCTATATCTAGGTGATCTACCCTGCAGCAGGCTACATATCTATGGCTATTGAAGCTGCACGTCAACGGGCTCTGGAGATGAACCTATCTATAGATGGGTACGACCTTCGGCAGATCAATGTTTCCCAAGCCCTGGTTATTCCCGAGCCATCTGGCCAAGTCGAAACAATGTTATGCATGAAGCCATTTCCAGAGAGCTCTAGATCGTCTTCTGGAACCTGGCACGAATTCTTCGTGTATTCGGCATCAGGCACAGGCAAATGGATCGAGCATTGCCGTGGACAGATATCCATTCGGCAATCAACGCTGCTCAATGATATCGATGGCAAGAGGCAAATGGAGATGACACGATCTGCTTATGCACACCAGAAGTTTGAAGCAGAGTTACAGTGCACTCATATGATTCCGGGATCTGAGTTATATGCCCAATGTGCAAAGATTGGGCTTGAATATGGTCCTAGTTTCGCAAACATGACGAATGCACGAGTGGGCGACGCTCGCGAGAACCTGACTTGTTTAAGAAGTACGGGGACGGTCATCCACCCGGACATCGAAAAGGTTATGCCAGCGAACTATCATAGTCCTTTTGTCATTCACCCCGCCACTTTAGACGCTTTCTTCCACGTCGCAATTGCTGGGATGGAACTCAAGACGGTCGCAGTACCAACGTTCATCTCGAGTGTGTTCGTCTCGAGTAACTTGTCGCCGCAGACACAGCACCAATTCTCCGTACTTGCTACGATCAATAAAGGCAGCGCACGAAATCCAAAATTCTCTTTGGATGTCTATGATAGTGAGGCTGACCCTGACTTCCCTTCCTTAGAGGTTCATGGGCTCGAGTCGACATCTTTGAATGGCCAGGCAGGAGACCAAAGCATCGGTAAACTGAGAAAGTCCTACTATCGGACTAAGCTCCGCCCTGACGTATCACTAATGTCTCCATCCCAATTTTCTGCACATTGTAGTCCTTTTCAACCAACAAGTGAAGATTCTCAGCTTGCAGCGTTGATCGACGAGGCATTCTATTACATGGCCGATTCAACAATGAAGCACATCCCGGAAACTGCCATTTCTACATTATCATCCAAAGGCGTCAAGCTGTATCACTCATTACAACGAGTTGTGAAACATGTGGCTAGTGGTCAAGTCCCTTTCGATGTCTCTAGCTGGCTCACGAAGACCGATGCCGAGCGTGAAGTAATATTGGAGAAGGCCCGCAACTCTGGCGACGAAGGAAATTTTGCCGTCGTCGTCGGCGAGCAGTTTCAGGGTATTATTGAGGGAACAGTTGACCCCCTGGCGCTGACAATGAGAAATGATGAGTTGGGTCGGTATTATGCCAACAACACGCGAATGACGCGTCAATGGTAAGTGGGAAAACCACCTCCTCTTCAATTTGCGCCAAGTTCCAAGAATTTATGCTAATCAGAGACAGTAAGTTGTCCATAATTTCTCATAGAAGTGCCATCTATAGGGAGACCGTGAAACAATGAAAGGAGCTAATGGCATAATAGATGAGCAAGCTACAATTTTGGTCGACCTCCTCGCCCACAAAAATCCACACCTGAGAGCCCTAGAAGTTGGGGCTGGCACTGGAGGAGCCACTCTCCCAATACTAACAGCGCTTGGGGGCATGGACTCCAGCACTTCGCCTCGCTTCCTCTCCTATCATGTCACTGATATCACAACGGGATTCTTCGAGAAGCTTCAACAAAAAACAACCGCATGGGGTGACCTCGTCAGCTATAGGAAGCTGGATATAGAGAGGGATATTGACCTTCAAGGCTTTGAGGCGGAATATTATGATCTTGTAATTGCTGCTAATGTGCTGCATGCAACAAAAAACATGAGTCGCACAATGGCTAATGTTCGGAGACTTCTGAAACCGGGTGGTACGCTACTTCTGATTGAGTTGATACCTAAAATTGCCGGCTTCACTAATATATTTGGTATTTTTGACGGATGTAAGTTTCTTTGAGAGCTGCCGCTGAACCCAGCTTCACTGATTTAGATGTGAATGGAAACTAACATCACTAGGGTGGTTCGGCGAGGAGGAAGATCGGAGAGACTCTCCTCTCATATCGGAGGAAAGATGGGACAAAATCCTCAGAGACACAGGATTCAGCGGTCTCGATTTCAGTCTACCAGATACAACGGACGTTATCGCTCACCAAGGCACGACAATGATATCCAGAGCTACCACAACCATCGATCATCTTAGCAACAATGCGTCCGTCTCTGTTCTGCCTCAGGCTCAAGACTCAGAAAACATTGTCCTCGTGGGTACAGACTCAAACACGATCAGCAACTCGGACAGGATCAAACATCACATCTCAGAACATCACAAGCTAGGGAGAGAGATTGGAGAAGTTGCCAACTTCTCCAATCTTCAGCCTGATGGTCGAGTCTATATCTTGCTAGAGCTGGAGAGTTCGATCTTGAGGGACATGACAGAGCCCAGATTGAAGACTTTGAAGGAACTATTCAGTCAAAGCAAAGGGATCCTCTGGGTCACAAGAGGAGCTTCCCATCTGCCCACCAACCCGGATTTGAGTCTCGTCTCTGGTCTTCTTAGAACACTCAGAATTGAGACTGGTCGACCCCTAGTCCACCTGGATCTTGATCCAAGATCGGATCTCGAAACATCAGCTAACGCCATAGCGAAAGTGTACAAGAGCAGGTTTGAGAACGACGACGTTGAGTCAGAATTTGTTGAACGTGAAGGTTTCATCTTAATCCCTCGCCATATGGAAGACGATAAGACTGGGGCCCGCATTGCTGCCAGAATTGGCAACTCAACACCAGAGATCGACACAATACCCCAGACGGGACGCTCCTTGAAGCTGCAAATTGCCCAATTTGGCCTTCTCGATACCTTTTACTTTGATGATGATGTACGTGTAGCGGATGAGCTTCCACATGATCACATCGAAATCGAGGCAAAGGCGAACGCACTGAACTTTCGGGATGTCATGACGGTAAGTTATGTCATTTACGACTTGTGTTGGACATCCACTAATACAGAGCGTGTGCTAGGCTATGGGACAGATAGAGTCTACTGAGCTAGGTTATGAGTGCAGTGGGGTCGTTTCCAAGGTAGGATCAGATGTCCAGTATCTCGCGGTAGGTGACAGAGTAATGGCTACTGGAGATGGAATATTTTCCACGTATGTACGCCTACCTGAGTTCGCTGCATGCAAGATCCCGGACGATATGGATTTCGATACCGCTGCTTCAATTCCCGTCGCGTATGGCACAGCGTACCATTCCCTCCAAGCAGCGAGGCTGGTCAAAGAGGACACTGTTCTGATTCACGCCTCAACGGGGGCACTTGGTCAAGCATTAATCATGATGTGTCAGCATGTCGGTGCTCGAATCCTGGCTACAGTTGGTACGTCAGAAAAGAAGACTTTCTTGATGACACAATTTGGAATCCCCGAAGAGCAAATTTTTTACAGTCGAGATAGCAGCTTCAAACAGGGCATTATGCGTGCAACGGACGGAAAAGGAGTCAATGTCATCTTCAACTCACTCTCGTCTGAGCTCCAACGGGTTACTTGGGAATGCATAGCTCCGTTCGGGCGGTTCATCGAGCTGGGACGACGCGATTTCATTGTCAACTCTCGGCTTGAACAAGCTCAGTTTCTCAACAACGTAACATTCGTGGGGCTAGACTTTCGTCATATGACCATAACCAGTGCGCGGTATAGCCAGGAAGCATTCCACGGATATATGGACTTGATTCGGTCGGGGATTCTCAAGGCTCCGCAGCCAATCTCGACTTATGGGATAAGTGACATAGAGAAAGCATTCCGCATAATGCAAAGAGGAGAGCATATCGGTAAGCTTGTTATCATGGCAAAGGCAGGCGAGCGATCCAAGGTGAGCACTGTGGATAACCGATTAGCTAGTATTTGCTGAATTTCAAATACAGGTAATGCCTCGAAAAGCTCCACGAATCGTTCTTCAAGTGAATGCAACGTACGTTTTAGTTGGAGGAATGGGTGGGATAGGCCGAGCACTTGCGGTAAGGCTTGTTGAGTGGGGTGCAAGAAATCTGGTCTTTCTTTCTCGCAGTGGCGCCACAACACCAGCAGCGTTGGACCTGATCAAGCTTCTGCAGAATTCTGGAGCTGTTGTGGAGGTAATAAAATGCGATATCGGGGATTTTGACCATCTAGAGACCGTTGTCAAGGAAATAACGCAGCAATTGCCTCCAATCAAAGGCATGTTCCATCTCGGTATGGTCATGCAAAGCGCACTATTCGAGAACATGAGATTGGACGACTGGACGGATTCGTTACTTCCCAAAGTGCAGGGTACATGGAACCTTCACAATCTCCTCCCGAAAAATCTCGACTTCTTCGTTCTCATATCCAGCATCGTAGGCATTATGGGGAATGCTTCCCAGTCCGCTTACGCCGCTGCCTCGTCTTTTCAAGATGCATTCTCGGCATATCGCAATCATCTAGGTTTACCTGCAATCACAGTTGACTTAGGCTTGGTTGTTGGGATAGGCTATGTTGCTGACCGAAACATACTCGAAAGCAAACTAAAAGCGCAAGGACACGACGATATCGGTGCGGATGAATGTTTGGCAATCATCGAGGAAACAATATTGCAAGCCTTCCAGTCTGAACATAGCGGCAATCTCATCACTGGATTTGGCCTTGGCAAGTTCACTGGTGGAGATATTCACCATGCGAGCCACCAGACTCCCCTGTCATCACATGCCAGAAGGCTAGCTCTGGGCGCATTCTCAGGAAACGCGCAAAAAGAAGAATCGACAGCATCGCTAAGAGTCCGCGAATTGTTGCGCACTACCACGTCCCTCGTGGATGCCGAAGCACAAGTCTTAGAGGCATTGCAGATGAAATTTTCAAATTTGTTAATGCATTCACTGGATGACATCGATGCTTCAAGACCATTGAGCTATTACGGCCTAGATTCGCTGGTTGCAGTAGTAAGTAAAGATGTCGCTAATTGATTACAATCTTCATCTCTAACATTGTTTGAATAGGAGATGAGAAACTGGATAGCCAGCGAGATTGAGGCAACAGTCCCAGTGCTTGAGTTGCTTGGCAATCAGAGTATTTCGGATCTTTCAAAGTCGATTGCACGACAGTCAAGGATTTTGAAGAAGCTTCTGTCTTAAGAGTGTTCAAATGCTTTTTGAAGAACAAGAGGAGAGCTATTTGAAAGAAGGAAGAGGAAGAAGGTAGACGGCGAAGGCGAATATGGCAAGGTAAAGGTAAAGGGGTAATTATGCGATAAAAATGGAAAAAGTTAATAAGCGCCAGGCTTCTTAAATAGTTTATACCCGAGCTTAAGCTCTGGGTAAGCCAAGGGCGGCCAATCGGGTGGCGAGAGAAAAGCTTTAGCTGCGTCTCTGAGGTCCTGCGACATAAGGCGCTACTAGAGGACATCCGGTGTGAGAGGTCAAGTGGTGAAAATGCCGAGAGCTCGGGCTCAGGTTAAACTGTAAAGAGGCGGCATCTGTGTGATCAGAGGAGCAAGGCCTACAGCGGTAGGCGAAACTGGCTTTAAAACACCATTTTTTTTTAATACCGAGCTTTGGAAATCGCGGCTGGGCTGCCACAGCTGCGTTACACATAACCTAATATTACTAAATTGCGAATTGCTTAATAATAATAATTCTAGATTAAGAAGTAAATTAATCGAATAGTAGAATGCTCGCCCATCTTTAAATCCCTAATAGCATTAGTATCTAAGCCTGGTATTTATTTGCTACTACTTGTTTATATCTTCTACTAGTTTCTACTAGTAGTTTATAAAAGCAACTGGACTATATTAGTAACTGGGCCAAATTACGTGCGAATTATTAGTAATCAGGAAACATTACTTTTATATGGGATCTACTAGTATTATTAATATCTAGAAATTATTATTATAGTCTCTTTTAATTTATTTAATTTTTTACTTTCGCTTTTCGAATTAAAGTAATTAGTTTTATTTTCTTTCTTAAATAAAAAGCTTATATAATTCTTTATAAGCTTTTTTTCTTAATATTTTGCCTTTATTATAGTTATTATATTCTTTATTAAAGGCCTTAAGTTAATATTCTTTTTTTCTTTCTTCTTTCTCTTTTTTTCTTTCTTATTTTTTTTATATAATTAAAGTATTCTTTCTTTTATATTACCTAAAAATCTTTATTAAATAAATTAGAATAAAAGAAGAAAGTTTTAGCCTTTAGTTTCTTTCGATTTTTCTTTTTTCTTTTTCTTTATTTAATACTAGACTTCTAAATTAAATTCTTCTCTTTATTAAATATAATTTAATCTCGAATTATAATTCTGGCTATGTTTTCTTTAATTCTCTTTTTAGTTATTTTTTTCTTTAATTAATAAACTTCTTTTATTATATTTTTTAAGCTATATTATATAAATTATAATATTTTAAAATTTAATTAATTAAATATTATATAAAATATTCTTATTTCTTTTATAAAAAAGCATTTATTAATAGCTATATTTTATATTTTATATATCTTTTAAAATATAAAAAGTATTCTTTAATTTCTTTAGTATATATAATTATAAAAAAAGCTTTAAAAGTAAGAAATTCAATTATTTAGCCTTTTTTATTCTTTTATTTTTAATAATTTTATTATTATATTTAAATATTTATATAATTATATACTTTAAATTTAATAAATATATATTTAAATAAATAAAAGTAAAAATAATATTTTCGAACTTAAAAGCCTAATCTTTAATTTCTATAAAATTATTTAAAAATAAGACTATATTATATAATATAATATTATTTCTTAAAGCTATTTTTATAGCTTTATTATAATAGTACTTTTTAGATTAAAAAGAGCTAATATTATATAATTATATAAAATATATTATATATAAAAAGTATTATAATTTAGCTTTTAATTTTATTAATTAATATTATTACTTTATAATTATTTATATTTTATTACTTTCTAAATATATATAATATAATTACTTTATTAAAGAAATATATTATAAGATATATATAATTTCTTATAGTTTTTTATATTCTAGTTTTCTCTTTTTTAGCTTTAAAATAATCTTTATAAGAAATCTTTTATTTTACTTTTTAAGTTTTAAATATTATATTTATAATATAAAGTATTTATTAAAAAAGAACATTTATTAAAGCCTTTAGTTTTATATTAAAATAAGAAATAAAATAATTTAGTTATAGTATTTTAAGTCTTTTATTTATATAGCTATTATTAATTATATGAGATATTTATTAATAAATAATAAAATAATAAAATAAAATAGTAAATTATAAAATTATAATATTAAATTTAATATAGAATTAAGTTTTATTTCTTTTATAAGGTTTAGAAAAGCCTTTTCTAAATAGAAGCTTCTAGTAATATATATATATATATATTTAGTAATTTATAAATTTAAAGCTTATAATATAAATAGTAATATAATTATTATATTAAAGAATTATTAATTTTTCTAATTAATACCTATTAATACAGCTGTTTCTTTGGGAGTCACGTGTGTAGTCACGGGACACGGGACACGGGACATGGGCAATAGGACATGGGCAATGGGATATAGGATACGGGACATAGTCATATAACCTCGCGTCCTATTAGTGACTCGACCAGTAGACTAGACCCCTTTAGGCTTAGCAGATTTAGGGATCGCATATTAATATCACGATACTGCGATCCTTACTTCTGAACAAGAACAACTTCACTAACCATACACAAATAGCACTTCCACGCCTATATAATGGTGCCATGCGTTACTAGTGAACCGACAATACCTATAATATTCGAGATTTATTATATGCCTTTTAATTATATATAATTCTATATATATTATAATTTAAAAGAAAAAACTCTAAATTATTCTAATTTTTATTTAATTAATTTTTTATAAATTAGAAATTCTTAATAATAATTATAAATAATATATATTTCTGTAGTAATTATATATTTCTTTTTAAAAAACAATTAAAAGACTTTTAAACTAGTTTATTTACTAATAAACTAGAGAAATATTTATTATTAGATTTATACTTTTTTCTTCTTTATATATTTAATTTTAAAGCTTTTTTTATTAAAATTTCAAATATTAATTTAATAAACTTAATAATATTTTAAAATTTATATATATTTATTTAAAACTAAATATTAATTAAAAAGAATTCTTTTAACTAATAATATATTTAATTATATTTTGAATTATTTTATAAGATATAAATAATTTTTAATATATAGAAAAATAGTCTAAATTTTCTTTTTATTAAAAATCTTATTTTTTTAGTATTTTTTTTATTATTATTTTTATTATAATTTTATATATAATTTTAATAATTTATAAAAATATATTTATTAATAAATTAAATTTTAGTAATCTCGGAAATTATAATATATAAATGCTTTTTTTGAAATTAAAGAACTTTAAAGAAATCTAATATTAATATATTTAATAAGCTAAATATTATTATAATTTAAGTATTTTTTAAAATATAATTAAAATATTATATAAATTATATATAAAATAGTAAAATAATAATAATTCTATAAGTTATATAATTTGATCTAGTTATTAATATAGCTATAATAACTAATATAAAAATATAATTTATTAAAAATAAAATATTAGAAATAGATATAAAATAAAGTTAAGCCGGAATTACTTAAATAGAATAATACTAAAAATTAAAGTATTTTTCTTATTTTATTTTATAGCTTAATATTTTCTAATATATAAGATTCTATTATTATATAATATTAAGCTTATTTAACTCGGCCTATAAAAGTAATATAATATTACTAATAAAGAACTTATATTTATTTTTAGAAAGTAAAAATAAAATATTATTTTTAATATTTAATAATTTTCTTAAATTATAAAAAATTAAAGAACTTAACTAAAAATATAATATTATTTATAATCTAGTTAATTTTAAAGTTTAATTCTTAATTAGAATAAATAATATTTTTCTTTTAATAATTAGTTTTCTATTAATATAAAAAAAGAAAAATAATATTTTCTATAATCTAATTAATTTCGAAATCTAGCTCTTAACTAAAATAAATAATATTTCCTTAATACTAATAAGAATAAAAGAACTAGCTCTTTTTTCTAATATTAAAAGAATTAATAATAGTTTATTAACTTAAAATAAAAAAAGATAATAATTAGTTTTAATTTATTAATTTAAAACTAAATAAAATAATAATTAGTTATAGTTTACTAATATTAAATAAAGAAAACTTATTTAATACTATTAGAATAGTTATACTATAAATTTCCTAATTATATAACTAGTTATATAAGCTTATATTATAGATATAACTTGATTAGTAAACTAGTTTCTATTAAGCTTAATAAATTTAGAAATTATATATTAATATTATAATATTATAATTTCTATTTCTAAATAATAATAACTTTATTAATATAATATAACTAGTATTTCTATATTTATATAATAATATTATATATTACTAGTAAACTAATACTAATTAGTTAGTACTTATAAATTAGAAAAAGATTTAATTAATTAGAAAAGTATTTAGTAGCCTAAAATAAATAGTCTATTTCTAATTAAAAAAAACTATTATTAATTCTAGAAAAGTATTTAATAGTTTAAATAAAGATATTAGCTTTTACTAAAAGAAATAATAATATTTATAAAGTATTTAATAGTCTAGAATAAAGCTATTTTTAATTAATAGAAACTATTTTATATATTTTAATTTTAATTTAATTACTTTATAATATCTATAATAATAAATTCTTCTAGCCTTTATTTATTAAAATTATTAAAATTATTCTTTTATAAAATTAAATACTTTTATAAACTATTAGAATAAGTTTTATTTAAAAAAAATTTATATTCTTTATAAATTACTAGAATAATTCTTAATTAAATTAATAATTCTATATCTTTAGAAACCTATTAAATACTATTCTATTCTCTAGAATTCTATTTTCTGAAATATTACTTTTTAGAATACTGCTTTTTAAAATATCTTTAGGGTATTTTAATTTTAATTTCGCTTTTAAATTAATTCTTTTAAACTTTAAAATCTTTAAATTCTTCCGGAATTGAAATTATAATATTTTATTTTTAAATTTCTTATTATAAACTATTCTAGAAATAATAATTCTTTATTTTTAGATGTCTAAAAACCTATTAAATATATTTTCTTATTTCTTCTTTTTATAAATATTTCGAATTCTATAAATTTCTTTATTTTAAAGCTTTTTTATTTTTAAGCTTCTTTATTTTAAACTATATATATATTAGAAAGAGTTTAATATAGTATAAATAGAAACAATTAAAATATATAGAATAAATAAAGAAATAAAGAAATAGAATTAATTTAAAATTACTATAAATACTAAAATTCGAAAGTCTATAAATATTAAACTATATAAATATATAAAATATAATTATACTAGTTATAAAACAAGCTAGAATATTTAGTTCTTGTCGGTTTACTAGTAACGCATGGTACTGTTATATAGGTATGAAAGTGCTATTTGCGTATGGTTAGTGAAG